ATATTTTAACAAGAAAAGCCTAAAGTCTAACCATATCAAAATTTTCCAGAGTGCTTTGTTAAAAATAGATACTTAGGCTCCACAAATCTACTGAATCAGCATGTCTGAGGATGTGCCAGAACGTGAACCTTGACGAGTTCTCCAGGTGATTCTTCTGCAGACTGAATTTTGATCACTACGCCTTATGGAAGTACATAGGTCATAACCTGGGTTGTACATTAGAATCACCTGAAGCAATTTTAGAACATTCAGATGCCCAGACCACACCCAGATTTTCTGGGCCAGGCATCCATTTGTCAGCATTTTTAAAGGTCTCTAGGGATTCCACTGTGCAGATGAGGCTGAGGCCAGTTGCTCTAAGTTAAGGCACACCTCCAGTGACTCTCACTGTTTAAACATTTCCCTGTAGTGTAACCTAGCACAATTCCACATTTATCCTGGTTAAACAAGACATGACTTCCTTACACAGGATTGTACATTATTCATTTGGTATCTCCAGAACCCTGGCTGATACAAACCAGGGGTGGAGTGGTCATTTTCTGAAATAAGTTCAACTAAAGAAAGTGAATTCAGGCCGGGTGTGGTGGCACACACCTGTAACCCCAGCACTCAGGAGGCTGAGGCAGGAGGATCATTACGAGTTCGAGACCAGCCTGGGCTACAAAGTGAGCTCAAGACCAGCCTGAACTGCATAGCAAGACCCTGTCTCAGAAAAAAAAAAAAAAAAAAAAAAAAAAGTGAACTAATGTATAAGAGAATAAAATTTTCACCAAATCCTAAAAATTCTATTAGATGAACAAGCTATATGGCACTGAGGCACAGTAGGAGGCTGTGAAAGGTGTAGAAATGACCAAAATACTGCCCTCTATTCAAATGTTCATGATCTGGGAGGGAGGCAGATATGCACAAACTGTAGTCAACAATGAAGCAACAGTGGCAAGAGTTCAGATAGTTAAATGGCAATAGGAAAAATGTAATTTTGAATGGCAAGAGTTCAAAAGGCCTCACTGAAGATTCGGTGCACAAGTTAGCCTTGAGGTATGGCTGGACTTGGGCAGGAGGAAATTAGGGAAATGAGCAGCTGGGGTATAACACAGTTCCACACAGCATAAGCTAAGTCAGATGGGCCTTTCTCTAACCTACATGAAGGCTGTAGGGCAGACATTACAGCCTCCTTTTCTTCCTGGCTTTCTTGTTATTGCTCTCATTTTTCAAATATTTTGCTCTGGTTTGTTAATTCTACCTCCCAGTGCGCCACTGTTTTCTTCTAGAAAGAGTTTCTCATTAGCATTTCTATAGAGAACACCTGCTACCCCATCTATTCCTATTAACTGCTGGCCAGGGCAATGGGGTTGACTGGGACGGGAATTTTAATCTCCTCCTTATGACTCATCTATTTCCTAATAGAGAAAGCCAGGTCCAAAGTCACAAATGGCTTCCCAGTGAAATCTATCCTTAACATTAAAAATGGTAATAAGGACATGCTTCTCAATTTTATAGTACCATCTATGTAAAATGAGTGTATTAAAAATTAATCAACCTCATAACTGTGATTAATTCTAAAAATACCTCAGACACCACTTGACTGCAGAAATCCTAGCATGAAGAGACTGTGAATCAGATCAGCTGAATAAGGAAGATTTCTCAAAACCATAGTGTCAAAGGGATTCTATATTGGGCATATATTAGTATATATATGATTCTGAATATTGAATATACATTTTACATTATATACTAATATATTATCCTTTATTATATAGTAAACTGCTCACATTGGTATCTTGTGACAGATATCACTTGCGAAGCCCATGAGAGGAACCAGTCACCACGGTGCAAACACACCATGATTTATGTAGAATGACAAAAGCAAAGGTTTTTAAAATCAAATTATCATTGAAATGGAGCCTTATTTGGTTTCTCCAGGGATGCAAGGCCATCTGTAGTGGACAGGGGGCACACTGAAATTCAATTCGGGAGAAAGCCAGAACCATGGAACCATGGCAAAGAAAAGAACATGAAACAATAGGGAAAGTAAATCTATGGTCCAGATAAGCCTATAATTTCCAAGCATTTTTCTTGTATATTTAATTTATTGAATATCTTGCTTTTCATATCTACTTTCACCCAAAGTGCATTTCCCCATTATTGGTTAATGTTTCTCCTGGAACAAAAAGTAATGTTAAATTTCACATCAAATTTGTCACGCATTCAAATTGCTCATTAAAGAAATTGCTGTCTCTTAGCAGCATTCATTCTCTTAATGTTTGAAAATTCATCTGATTATACATCAAAATGGCACTGATGGACCCAAAGTCGTATGTATAATTAATTTTTATGGAAGACCTGAATGTAAAATTTTTTGAGAAGTTTAAAGATTTTTCTTGACAGGTTGATAGAATTCTGATCGCTGCTAAAAACAGCTATTCCTTACCTGCTGTTAGGTCATACTCTCCCCCTACTTAATCTAATCATATTCAGTATATATGTAATTTGACTGTGTATCAGGACATACTTATTGCATGGTTAAGGTTTGTTTCAGGGGAAAATGCTATACAGAACAAAAGCACAAAGCAAAACTTGGAGCAAGTTGTATCTGATAGGTGTGGCCATTCCCTGACTAGCCAGTCATTTGCAAACAAAGCAACTCCTGCCAGTCTAGAAACATAAACTGATTTACTGAGTAGGATCACCCAAAGAGGTGTGAGAAGCTGAGCTCTGTCTTGATTGGCACTATCTATGGAGGAGAGGAGGGGCAGCATCTGCCTGGTGGGTGGTAAGGTTCCACCTGCTGCAGGTAGAATGGGTGAAAGAAGACGGAGTCAGCAGGCCAGGAATCTGTGGTGTTGGGTCAGCCTTAATGTTCTTAAGGATGAAGTAGGGTCTTGTTAACAAGAAAGCCATGGAACAACTATAAAACTGTATCTTGGTTTTGTTTTTTATGCCTCTTGTTTGTTTGCTTCATTTCTTTTTCTTGAGATCCTCCCTTGGTAGATGCATGAAAACATTGTGAAAATTCCACCTCCTTGTGGATATCCAAGGAAAAAGATATGTGTCCTTGCTTGACCCAGAGCTTTAAAAGGAAGTAATGTATTGCTGGGAGACCAGTGAGGTTGTGATGGCAATAAACTGACAGAGA